GTTATCTTTGACTCTTGACATAACTTCCTAGGTATATGGACCTATTACTCAGTTAATCAGCTCTTTTGAGAGCAAACTTTAATGGGGAGGAAGGTCAAGGAATTTTTTGGGGTTCTTGGTGGCTGAAGAGACAGAGAAGGAAGTGCCCTAGAGAAGGAAAAAAAATAGGAAAGAGGAGGCTGGAGCCTAAAGAAAAACTTGGAACCTAATTGATCGAATGAGCAAGCATTTCTTAATCATTTACTGTTGGCTAGGCACTGTGCTAAACCCTGGAAATACAAATACAAAGGTGAAAACTGTTGTCCTCAAGGGGCTTACATCTAAATAAAAGGGGACAGCACATAAAAGGGGCCTGTGGGCAGACTAGGGAGTTTTGATCCAAGAAGTCACAGAGATGATGAGTGGATGCATCTACTGGTCAGTTTCTTGACTTGCCCTTTCCAAAAGCAGTGGTATCATTGATTTGATGACTGTGTTCAGAGCAAGCCATGGAAAGTGAATAGCACATAGTACGGTGGCAAGGTCAGAGGGCCAGATAACTGCTTGGGAGACAAATTGTAGTCTGATCCCGGGGCATTTAGGTAGAGTAAATTAAGTGAATTTGCGTTTATTCAGACACCAATCAAAACAGCTTAGCCACAGGTCAGGAACTCCACAACTGAATGGCTTAATTCCTCCAAGACTAGGAGTTGGTTGCTGGAGGTCTGATCAATACCTGGTTCCAGGTAGGAAAAGCAGAACAAGAGTGGGGCAAATGGCAAAATGGGCCCAGGGTTAGGCTAGATGGGATGTGAAGCAATGCAGAAAACTGCAGCTGAGAGAATCTGGAGCCAGATATATCTTTTTTACCCAGTTTATGATGTTCAAAATAACTGGGACAAAATGAATAATTACATTGAGTGACTTGTATACAATAAATCTTAGTTTTTACATATTCAAAAACATTTAATATGTGATATATGCTCTTTTTGCTGCAACCGCTTTGTTTTGTGCAATTTGGCACTGACTTTATAAGATTTTGACACATATTCTTTCTCTTCATCATGAAAACACACTTCTCAGGATAAATATTAAGCAGGCCTTTGATGAACAGTTCAGATTTTTCCCAAGTCTAGCCGTGATTGTAACCCATAGGCTTTAATGGGTTTAAATCAGATAAACATCTAGATCGCTGAAGCATGCTTATCTCCAGGAAGGTAGCAGGATGGACAGTGTGCTGAAATCTGAAGAGTTTAAGTTTTGTCTCAAACTCTTGGTGAGCTATGTGGACCTGGGCAGGTTGCTTAACCTCTGTCTGCCTTAGGTTTTTCACCTGTAAAATGGAGATGATCTTAGCACCTACCTCCCAGGACTTCTGTGAGGAGAAGATGTGAGGCAGTATTTGTAAAGTGCTTTGCAAAACTTAAAGTGCTATATGATTTCTAATAATAAACAAATAATCTCAGATAAATTTCTTAACTTTTGTGACATGCGGCATTATGCAAGGTTGTATTTCGATAGTCCATCTCCATTTGGGAATTGTAGTAATTCCAGGAATGATTCTGTTTCTTAGCATATCAATATAGTTATCAAAATCCATTGGGAATAAAAATATCCACCAAACATTTTTGGGGGATGAATGTTTTACATTCTAATGAAGATGCCCAGATCTTACAGTCTTTCTGATAATGGTATTGTTATAGCCTTGAAGGAAAAATTGAAGATCATCAGCAAAAATTACCTTTTCTGAAACCTCAGTACTCCAGACTTTGTATTGTCTTGCTCATGACAAGTTCTTTTTTCTTCATCTCAATGATTAGTAGCTGGGTTTTTTGGTTTGGTTTTGTTTTTAAATCTCCTCCAACTGCAAGGAACCTCTACCACGTTATTATTTGGGATGTAGCCACATCTGCCTGTTGATTTGAGTTTTGAAGTTGAAGAAAGCAGCAAGATAGAGAGACTCATAGCTAGTATATGTCTCAGAAGTAGGCTGAAGTAGGCTTATCGTTTAGCCATGCTCTTAGCTTCTAAAAGCTGTAATAGAAACAAGTGGTTGTACAATGCCCAAGTCAGCTGTCAAAGACATATACAGGTACACAGGTGATAAAATTTTGCTAAGAAATCTCAGGGTTCAGGAAATACTGATAGCAGATCAATAAAATAGCCACAAGATTGTAGTGGGACTGGGCAACTTTGGGGCAGCTAGGTGGCACAGTGGGTAGAGCAGGAGTTAGAAGGATCTGAGTTCAAATCTGGCCTCAGACACTGATTAGCTGTGTGACCCTGGGCGAGTCACTTTACCTCATTTGCTTCCAGAGAAAGAGACAGAGAGACAGAGACAGAGACTAGGCAACTTTTCATTTACAAAGTAGACCCAGAAGATGATCAGGACCCTCCCTACAAAAGATAACACACCAGCATCATCTATTGACTGTTGGGAAGTTAACATCTTGATGAGCAAGTGAAAAGCAATGATACGGAATCAGATAATAAGACTCTGAGAAAATGAGCCCACTTGTGTGCTGTAGAGAGACTGACAGAGGTGGGTAGGAAGGAAACTAGAGTTTATTATGCTCCTACTATGTGCCAGGCACTGTGCTAAGTGCTTTACAAAAGTCTCATTCAATCCTCACAACAGTGGACAGTGGGTGCTAGTATTATCCCAATTTTACAGTTGAGGAAGCTGAGACAGAAAAAGGTTAAGTGACTTGTCCAGGTCACACAGCTAGCAAGTGTCTAAGGTAAGATTCAAATTCATTCTTCCTGGCTCAAGGCCCAGTGTCACCCAGCTGCCTAGGTAGGTAATAATAATAACCCTGAAGATATTCATTGTAATAAGAATAGAGTTAGATATTGGTTGGTGTTTGTCCTTCATTCTCGAAGAGGACCTTGACAGCAGGAGGGTGATGCCGTGACATGAAAAGTGAATTCAATTTAAGTGAAGGAGGGCTGAATATCGGTCCCCATCAAATGGTCAGGAAACTCAACCAAGTGTATCCCAGTCACAGGGGAACTTCTCTGCAGATGCTGAGAGAGTACCAAACCCAGAGGCAACTCTTTCCATCTGATAACCCCATTGTAGAGCCTCCTAGGGAACAGAGACTGTCTCCTCCCACAGGAGACTGTGATAGCCAGCCTGGGTCATCTACAAGCTCAGAATTGTTGCTATAGGATATTGATAATCATGTATTCACAAGATCAGGAGGTCTTGGTAGAAGCATTGGGACCATTTGACCAGTGGCCCAATATTTAATGTCAGGAAAGAAACCAGGCATTACTCATGTAGCCAGATCTTCTCTGAAGAAAAAAGAGATCCTAAATTTCCAGAGTTATAAGTTGCCTTGGCTACATGTGTTCACTACACATGCACCTCACTAAAACTGTACTTTATTTGTGCCCATTCTCCCCTCAGTCAGCCAATGAATGTGCTACTATGTGCTAGGCACTAAGTGCTGGGGATACAAAAGCAAAAGAGAGTCCCTGCCCTTGAGGAGCTCACAATCTAACGGGGGAAGGCAGCATGTAATAAGAAACTGAGAAGTGAGGGTGAAGTCTGGGAAGGGGTACCCTGTGAGGGTATGATGAAATTCAGAGGAATGAACCAACTGGGAAACGGAAGAACTGGTTATCGGGGGTGCTTTTCTTAAATGGAGAATCTGGAAGGAGCTGTCCACTGTCTACCTTCTCTAATCAGAGAGAAGGAAGAGGACCGGGGACAGAGCTCGGTACCCACCCAGGAGGTATGAGTTGATTTTGTCTTGCAGAAAGCATGATGAAGTCCAGATAAAAAGATGGCCACCTCCTTAAATGGACGATCTGGGAGGAGCTCTCTGACTCCCACCAACTCTTGTGTTCTTGTAGGAGAGTTAATGGGATGCCCATTGGTGGGAGTTTATGAGCCACAGTGTTAGAAGTCATCCTGAAAACCTGAAGTAACAGTTACTCACATGGGGGTCCAACCTACCAGTACAAATGTGGATTGAGAGAGTAAGCCCAAAGGGGGGGGTGATATATCTGTAATATCTAACATCTGTCTTTTAACTTGTTGCTTTATGAAGACGAACCATTAAATGAAAGGTGGTAGAAGGTGGTAGCTAGAGTCCTCACCTTATGAAAGTCCATATATATGAACTTGGGACAGGAAAAGTAGTCTTCAATTTCTTATCGCTTTCCATACTTCCTTGTCCCCACCTGCAACTGCATATTGTTTCTGAATTCAGAACACTAGAGTGATTGAGAAGACTCTTCTCATATGCAGACATGGAGAGTTTAATAGGTTATTGGTACTTAGAAGTACTCATACTACTTTTCCCTTCCCCCTGATGAAAGTGTATTTTGTCTCTGTTGTGCCAAAAGAGAACTTGCTACCATTGTAGATGGGACAGATGTGTATGTGGGTGTGGGGGGAGAGGGTTGTAATGAAACTTCAAATTTCATTTCCCCATAGAAATGTCAGAAATGGTAGTTAATTGTATTTTAAATAGTATAAGTACTTCTTTGTTTCAAATTTCTTATGGGCAAAAATCTTTTGTGAATTGGCCTGGGAACCTAGTCATCATTTGTGATATTCTTTCTATAGCAAAATATATTCTATATGCCAGACAACTCACTCTCAAATAGCCTTTTGGACCACAACCAAAAGTTTGTGCAATGGGGACTTCCTACATTACTTTTTCCCACTCATGTATAATGTAATTCTATATAGTTTAAAAAGATAAGTGGATGACGCTGGGAATCCTCAGGAATGAAAAAACAAAATACAGCTTGTACAGAGAATGAGCATGAAATATTCTTCCCACAGGATGCATTCTCTTTCCCTCAAATGTAATCACTTTCCAGTAAAACATGTTCTTTCTAAAGGTGGATTTTTATGGATACTACCTCTCACCCTTTTATGATGAAATTATTTCATTTTCCCCCCTCTTTATTTGGAATAAAATCTGTCCCTCTGGATCGGCCACTGAACTACATCTAAATACTTTCCAAAACGGTTTTAATGGGAGAGAAGTTTCAAAAAATACCTGAGGACAATTGTGAAAGCAGATGGGAATCCCAGCTTGAGCTGTTCTTCTGGTCACTTCATGAAAACAGATTGAGATTCTTAAATTTTTGTGCCTTTCAGAGCCAACCAAGGCCCTTTAAATGGCAGAGACAGCCCAGAGGCTGCTGCTTCCAAAGAAATATAGGTCACTCTAACTCAATTCTTCCTTCCAATTTACTCTCACAGCTCTCACTCCACAGAGCCTGTTTGGCTTTGTAGTTGAGAGGATACCTTAGCAACAAGCTAACATTCTTTGGGGTGGACACTTAGAACCTCTGTACTTGACATTCTTAGAACCCTTTGTTACCTGAGACATGGAATGCAATAGATAAACAGTGTGGTGCTAAGTGGTCTTCTTGGCCTACTGGGTCTTCCCTAAAGATGGTCCCTAGAAATGGCCGGGGAAGGACCTCATGGGTGAGCACAACAGATGTGGTCACCATGGCTGGTGCCTTAGCTTGGAACCTGCAGCAAGAGGTCGTTTGTGTCAGCTCCCCTGAAACTCATTCAGACCAATATATCTGTACTCTTGAATAGATGGCAGTCACTCTATTATCCTTAGTGAATTCATGGAAGACAAATGGAGAGATTGTTGATTGAGGAATGACAAATAGCAAGCTCCCCCCACCCCCATTTATATTGTCTACCCAGCAGTTATGTTTACAAATGTTCTTTTAAATAGGAAGCTACACAATGGATTGCTGTCTGCCACCATTATCAGCAGAAATATATTGTAGGGTCACAGAATGTTAAAGCTCAAACAGATAGATCTTAGGGATCATCTAATCCAACCTCCTTCTCTTAGAGATGGGGAAACTGGGAACGAGAGAGAAAACCTGAGTAAAGGACTCAAATAGATCTTGTGAGGCCATACTGTGTATATGGCACTGTGCCAGGGAGAGGGAGGAAAGAAAGAAAGAAAGAAAGAAAGAAAGAAAGAAAGAAAGAAAGAAAGAAAGAAAGAAAGAAAGAAAGAAAGAAAGAAAGAAAGAAAGAGAGAGAGAGAGAGAGAGAGAAAGAAAGAAAGAAAGAAAGAAAGAAAGAAAGAAGAAAGAAAGAAAGAAAGAAAGAAGAAAGAAAGAAAGAAAGAAAGAAAGAAAGAGAGAAAGAAAGAGAAAGAGAGAGAGAGAGAAAGAAAGAAAGAAAGAAAGAAAGAAGAAAGAAAGAAAGAAAGAAAGAAAGAAAGAAAGAAGGAAAGAAAGAAAGAAAGAGAAAGAAAGAAAGAAAGAAAGAAAACAAGCAAAAAGGAGGGAAGGAAGGAAGAATGAGAAAGAAAGAAGGAATACTAGGAATTCTGATTGAACACTGGGAATACAAAGAAGTATGAGACACCATCCTTGTCTTCAAGAGGCTTGCCATCAAGATAAATAAAAAACAAATTTTAATCCCAGGATTTAGGGATAGTGATAAATAATGAAAGCAGACTAGAGTCAGAAGGGAATAAGAGAATGTGGTAAGAGTGTAATGGAGAAGTGAAGCAGTGACTTAGCAGGACAAGAAACCAAGATCAGAGACGTGGGGAAATGAGGGTCCAGAGATTATTCTGCCTGGATGAGGACAGAAATAAGAGGCTGAAACCAAGAGGTGCTCAGTAATAGCTCAGTAATCAAGGGAATGAGAAGGGACTGTATCTGGGGAATACAAGTAGGAGCAAAGTAAAAGCAGGAAAGAGGAGATAGAGAATCAAGCAGAGAGTACCGGGGCTAGGCTGGGCTGAACTTAGGTGAGGAAATTGTAGGAAAAAAAAACCACAAAAAGATATTATCTTAGAATGAAGATGAGCAGAGACCCAACACAGGAGTTTAGACTTTAGTTAATTTTGAACTACTTACAATTATTTTTCATCTATGATAAGCTATTATTTTAAAATTTTAATTTATGGAATAAAACAAGCATTTTTATAAGATAGTATAATAAAAAAGATTGCCCATGAAACTATAAATCTATTATGTACAACTTGATATTCCTTTTAAATATGTAATAAATTTGTCATGTAAATTTCTTCTTTTCCCCTTTTTTTCCTTCCCTCCCTCACACCCTAGAGATGGCTACCATCAGACACAAATATGTAAAGTTATTGTATATATACTTCTATTTATCAGTTCTTTCTCTGGATGCAGGTAGCATCTTCCTTCATATGTCCTTTGTGGTTAAGTTGGGTATTTATAATAATAATAATATTTATAATAGATGATTTCTGAATGAAGAAGTAGAAAAGGGGAAAAACTTTGGTCCTAATTCAATAATTGGTTATTCATATAAGAGAACAATAATCTTTTCTTTCACAACTGAATCCGTTCAATCCTCAGAGGGATTTCTGTTCACACAGAGGTAAAAGCTGAACCAAGATATAACCCTTTAAGGTTTGCATGTATCATTTCATTTGATTGCACAACAACCTTATGAGCCACGTGCCATTCTTATACCCATTTTACAGATGAGGAAGCTAAGGCTGAGAAAGATTAAATCCCTCGCCCAGGGTCATAGCATAAATAAGCCCCAGAAGCAAATTTGAACCCAAGACTTTCTGACTCTGAGTCAAGTCCTTTATGTATTATGTCACAAAGCTGCTTCAATATCATAATACATACAACATTGTCATATATTTTGTTGGTTATGTGCTACATCTTGGGTTTGTTGTATACACTAATGCTAGATGTTTGTAGTCCTAAGGTGAATGTTAAGTGTTACACTAGATATTGCATTTGCATCTGCCAACTTATATTGCTTAGAATGTAGGTTCAAGTCTTTTCCCCTATAATTTGCTGGGACTACACATTCCTTACTGGGGCGGCGGGGTGGGGGGGATGAAGGGAGATATTGAGTTTTTTGTTGGCCAGAATGTAGCACCAAAGCCAGAGGGTTTTGATGCTTACAGAGAGACATAGTGGAGGTAGGAATGTGGGTCAGGAGGACGGAGGGCCTTACCTTGCCTTATCTGCCTAGTTTTTGTTTTGCTTCAGATTTATTTGTATTCTAAGTTGAGCTTTTGGAGAAATTCTAGACCTGATCCAGTTGTTCCCAAAGACAGAATGTGTCTCAACCCCAGACCCAAGGAGTTGAAAGAAAAGACATAATCTACCCACATGTCATCTACATGTATAAATTGCATATGAGGTCTCCTATCATGTGTTTTCCATGTATGTGTTCTCAATACATATTTCCTGGTCATGTGAGCTTTCTGTATGAGAATCAGATATCAGAAACTACAATCTACCCACTAGTGGTGTGGTAACCTGTGGGAGACTGTGCCTTGGGTAGGCATGGGAGGAATTTTCTCTTGACAAGTTATTTGCTAGTCCTTAGATGGACTGGTAAAAAATAAACACAGCAGAGGGGAATTATAAGCTATTTTTTTGAGTGAGTGCCCACTCGCAGCTGACCTGGAACCTGCAGTAGTTTTTTTTCCTGGGAGCCCATACCCCTCAGGTGACATTTTTTAATAAGGATATATACCAAGGAATATGCTAATAAGTGTTAATGACTGGCTCTTCAAAAAAAAAACACAACAAAAAATAGAATGTAGACCCATTTTCAAGTTTAATATTTATTATTAACATGTGTCCATTACATCAAGTCTAGACAATCCACAAATCAACAAATCCAGCCCTGATTTGTAGCACTTGCCAATTTCCAAGGTAAAAATGCTCACAGTGGAAATTGAACAATCTATGAGTTGGCTCCAGCACACCCCTTGATGTACCCCTCTAGAGCCACAGTTCAGCCACTGGTGTCATTCTGCCATTGTTCAGTGATACCTACTGTAGGAGGTCAGCTTTGCCTTCTTAGCATCTCTAAATGGCTTTGCCAGGTGTCAAGAGAAAAGGATGACATGTGGATAGTTTCACCTGTGCCCTCATAATGTTGGGAAAAAATGAGGAAACTTGGACTTGCTGTGGCAAACTTTTGGGAGGATATGGATGAGAGTAGGAGTAGCACGTGCAGATTATGAACTACAAACTTTGGAGGGAATTGTCAGTGAGATCCTAGAACCATCTGAGTATTTGAAAGAGTTCAACCTACTTCTTACCCACTTGCATAAAGACAGATGAGACCATGAGTTTCATTGCTGACTCTTCTTGGATTTTGTCCACTGGGAATTTCTAATTGGGTATTTGTCTTCTCCCTTCCTGTTCATTTTAAAATCTTTTTGATGGAATTTCCAAACTTCAGGTGAATGTATTCTTACCAGCCCTTACTAAGTTCATTTCTCCCCTGGCCAGGATTCTGTCATTTTCCTATTCTCTGATCTCCAAGATGCTTTTCTTGAAATGTGGCAGTCAGAATAGAACATGACAGTTCAGATGCATTCAGACCGGAAAAGTCCAAAGACACTCTGACCACCCTCGAATTGCACACTGGGATTGATGGTATGAACTTTTTGGACAGCCACATCACACCATCAAAATGAGATAATGATGGGGAACATGCTTTATAAACTGTGGCATGCTACTATGTAAATTATCATTGTCTTTTAGAAAATAAGCTAAGCTTCCTCAGAAGAATGGACTGAGATGGTGGCTAAGGAAATATTCCATTCCTGAGGGCTCTCCTATAGCCATGGTCCAAAAAGCATTAGATAAAAGGTTAGAATTATCATAAATTTCACAAGCTCTACCTCTTCTGTCTTCTACCTTTAAATTTCACAGAAAGTTTCAGGCTATGTGCTCTACATGGGTGTGGTGGCAGTAAGGTGACTTGATTCTTAATCTGTTAGCATGGAAACATGAATAATCTTAGGTGTGGTGAGATATTTACCAGTGTGAACAATTATTGAACAAATAAAGGTTTTGTTGGTTGCAAAGATTTCTTAAATCTCTCAAGTCATGCTAGGACAATGAATTGATGTTTTATACCAGGTTCTCCAATCACTGAAGACATTTTTTATTTTTATTTTTAACTTTTTAAAAAATTATGTTATCTTTCCCAATTAGCAAAAATCCACCTTCCCTCCCTCTATCATTTCCTCTCTCCATCCCGCCCTGCCACTTTTGAAAATGAAGGAAAAACAAAACTTTTGTTACTAATATGATCATGCTCTACCACTCCTTTCCCACTACTCTCAAGGAAGTCAGAGTACCTCTCCAGTAAGCAACAGTGGTTAGTATGTATTTATTATGTTAGAAGGACTCCCAAAACAACTTTCTGCATTTTTATGTAAAATACTTTTTTAAAAAAGCTATAATTACAACATAGCAAAATCTAGGACTTACAGTTATATATCCATCCCTTTTCTGT